CTCCATGTGGACCAGGTCCGGGCCGGCGCCCACTCCAGACTCAGCCCTGGAAAAGAGGGGGCTCAGGCTGGCATCGGAAATGGGGTCCCCGAGCCGGGCATGGAGCCCGTGTCCGTGTCCCGCACCCCACGTGGCCCGTGGCCTCCCGAGCCGGAGGCCACGCCCGCTGCGGGCTGGAGGCCAGTGCCCTCCAAGGCGCCACGGCTGCTGGGGGTGTGCGCCTGGCGGGCCGGGCTTGCTGGGCGTTCTATCTGTACCGTTTCCACAGGACACGCCCCGTACACAGACGTTCCCGTGATGGGCGTGCGTGCATGTGTGTGCGTGGGCGTGTGTGCACGTGTGTGCGCGCGTGTGTGTGTTGAGGGTATTTGGTTTTGTTTTTGATCAAAATGAACCTGGGAGCCGGGGCAGGCCTGGGAATATCACCCGAATTTTGCAGGTTAGGAAACAGGCTCAGAGAAGCTAAGCGCCGGCCCCAAGGGCGCACAGCTGTCAGTGCCAGAGGCGGGCTTCCCTCCAGGGCTCTCCCTCACCCTGGGGGTCCCGGCCTCCCACCCACCACAGCGCATCCTGGGAAGTCACTGGTCTTGGCAGCTGCCCCCCACCCCACGGCAATAGCGGCCCAGGGGCTCGGGCACACCGTGGGCATGTTTTCGTCAGGGAGCTGAGGAGGGGGGGCCGCAGCCCCAAGGGCTGTGTGGTCCGGGGACCGAGCACAGGGCCCCGGCCCGGCCGCCCAGCACAAGGCCCCACAGGAGGCGGGGGCAGGCTCTCCAAGGGAAGGAGCCCAGCGGAGACCTGGGCGGGGTCCCAGCTGTTGCTGTGTCGGGTGTCACCTGGGCTCCGCCTGCGTTTCCTTTGCTACGTCACCCCCCTTCCAAGCCCCCAACGACTCCGCCTCCTCCTGAGTGTGAGCACCTGGGTCTGGTGAGCTGGTGCTTTTACTGCAATAACATCCGAGCCACCGTGACAGTGACAACCCCCACCCCCACCCCCCAGGAAGCCACTCCTCCCGGAGGGACAGGGACCCTGCCGCACACCGTGCCAAGCGTTCATGAGGTCAGCACGCAGAGGCCGCGTCCCACGGTCGCACAGGCCCAGGGAGCACCCCGTCTTCCTTGCGGCCATCCCCATGGTGTCCCCGCAGGTCATGAGAGGCCCCCGCAGGCTCTCTGTCTCCAACGCCCCCCCCCCCACTGACACCCCCAGTTGGCCCTTTTCAGTTTTCAACCTGCCTCCCAAGGGTCTCCAGGGACCAGGTGGCCCCAGGGGACAAGGGGATGCTGAGTCTGAGTGCCACGGCCAGTGGATGTGCCATGCGGGGAGCGGGTGGGGATCCCTGTAGTGCCCCAGCCTCTGAACTGTGGGCGCCGCCCAGTCGCCCTGACCCTCAGCAGAGTCGCAATGGCAAGGTGGATGCTCATCTAGGCTCTGTGAGTAGAGTGTGTGTGTGTGTGTGTATGCATGTGTGCATGTGTGCGTGCGTGTGTATGCACGTGTGTGCACCCTGACCCTCAGCAGAGTCGCGATGGCAAGGTGGAGTGCTCATCTAGGCTCTGTGAGTAGAGTGTGCGTGCGTGCGTATGCATGTGTGCATGTGTGTATATGCATGTGTGCATGTTTGTGCATGTGTGTGGCGGTGTGTGCCTGTGTGCACCCTGACCCTCAGCGGAGTCGCACAAGGTGGCTGGATGCTCATCTAGGCTCTGTGAGTAGAGTGTGCGTGCGTGCGTATGCATGTGTGCATGTGTGTATATGCATGTGTGCATGTGTGTGGGGGGTGTGCCTGTGTGCACCCTGACCCTCAGCGGAGTCGCG